TCACCTGAGATGTCCTTAATACTTTAGTGTTCCCTGTTAGCCTCAGCATGTAAAATAATTTGATAGTTTCAATCATTAGCAGACTGAAAAGTGCCAGCAATCTTGTTTTCCAGAAAATAGAGTAAATAATGTGTGAACTTTTTATTGCATAACTCAGGTTTTATCATTGCTAGATACTTGTTATTTAATTTAGAAACTGAGCGGACTGCAGGCTGCAATTGGTATACTGTATAGCATAAAGCCTAACACTTGATTCAGAGCTGTTCTTTACAATTTTTAAAGGCTAGCAAACTACTGTACTTTGCAATGTGATTTATGGAAGCCATCATCATCATGTATATGGTGGATAAAAATGCAAAATCCAGTCTAAACATCTGGCTGTCTGTGCAACCAACCATAATAGGCTAAAAAGGATGGAGATGAAAGTAAATTCTCGTAATGAAAATAACCAATGTGGCATAAAACTACCTTTTGCCAATGTTGGTATCCCAGCATAGATCAGGTACTGGTGAACTGCATATCTTGTTTAATTTGACCTTTTAAGTATCAAAACCACAACTGCAAGATATAAATAATTGTTTCATAATTGGTTTTTCCTTTATTTACTAGCAGTTTAAAGAGCAAAGTTTATTTATGGTAGTTATGAAGCAACTGAGTGCATATTTAGCACCATTTTGGTTACTATGATAAACATCCTTATTTTTAAAAATGTGAGTTTTTAAAATGTCTGAGACAGAAAGTTGCATGAATTCAGAGGATGCCCGGATATACCGCTACTGATAGCAAAATGGTTTGTAGCAGGGCTAAAATATCGGGAAGCAACACAGGAAGTAAAATAGGATATAAGACTGATTCTGTGGATAGCCACAGAAGCTGACACAAGTCATTTCTCGCCATGTTACCCTTTTACTTTCTTAAATACTGTAGTGCTTGCTAATAGCATAGTTTAAATGTCATCCTGCTGATGAGACTGAGCCAACTTAACATACTTACATTTAAACCATTCAATGGGAAGTACTAAACATCATTACTTTGATTCACTGGATTTGAATTTCTGGAGCGAATGCAGCATGTGTGACTTGATTTGCTCAACCCCCTGCTCACATGCCATCAAGTAAGTGCTGCCAGCTGGATTTTACAGGTGCAAGTCTTTGAATTTCTGTGAATGAAAACTGTGATTTAGGAAGGCAGGTATAAAAGCTGCAGGATGTTGCCTTTGGAAGCAATTTAATGCATATAAAAGACATCGTGACTTGCAGAAATGCCTTTAAAAAAATAATATGAACTTTGCCTCATGGCTATTTACTTTCTACAGTTATAGCCTACTCATGCTTTTAGGAATAGTAAGGACTGAAATAAGCCCCAACCTCCAAATGTTGTAGGAAGTTGTTTATCTCAGATTTTGTTACAGATTCTGCTTTTATACTCATGATAGTTATTGCTAATGGTAGTAAAAAAATGTGATATATCTAATGTTTCAAGTTTCCCTTTCCCTGTTAATGTGGATGCTAAAAGAATAGCTTTTTTTCTTATAGAAACACACGGCAGAATAAGAATTATTAACTGAAAAACTTCAGGTCTGCTACATTGGTTTTCAATGAATTATAAAATGTTAGGGTTAGATTTGACCTACAGGTATTTATGGGATGACATAGTTATCAAATCTAAAAAAATACCTGCCTTTTCTGAAGTTTCTGGGGAAATGTTTGATTCATTTGGTTGGTTTGAATGCAAAGCTAAATTAAAGTTTAGCATGATAAAAACAGACCAAACCTACTATTGTGGCTATGTGCTTCTTCCTTCTTCCATCTCAATGTCACAGAAAATAATTGTTTTCATTTATGATTAACGGCACTTGCTGCATTTGTTGAATCTGGACAAACTGCAATTAATCATATTGTTAATGGAAACACATTAGTGAATGTATTTGTATAAAATGTTGAGCTAAGTCTGGGATAAACAACAGGTAACATACTTATCTGGTTATTTGCTACCCAACAAGTCAAGACTTGGATGATAAAACAGTCATCATGGCTACAATACCACATCTCCTTAATTTTTACTGCAATGTTTTAAAAAATTCTATAAAAGTTGCAGTGACCCAATTGGGATTGGAGCCAACACATATGGAGTACCTTTGATTAATGCTGTGTCCATTTTGATATACACACATTTGAATGCTTTCAGAACCCTTGTGAAAAATTGGTGAGCATTAGATGCTATGCTTTAACTTAATTTGATGTAAGAATTTGGTTTGTACCAGCTCTAGGTAAAAAAAATAATTGAGTTTAATATTTCATGCAAGTACAGTCAGTATATACCCAAAAGTTTATGAAGCTGGATTGTAGTAATTAATTATACGCGCAAACATACCTTTACACTATTCTTTCTGGGATAGGAAACATTATGTAGAATAGAAAGGAAGTAAGAAATAGCCAAAGAAATTAAATGAATAAGAAAAAGAAAAGAATACATACTTAAAATTAGTGTACACCATTACCTCAATCTTCCTCTTCTTTTGATCCATTCCTCCTTTCTTTGCAATTCATTTGATCTCTCTATGTGGCCAAACCATCTTAATGTGGTTCTTTCATTCTGGCCACTCACATTTGTATTCAATCTACATTTATTCAGCACCCATTTTCTTAACTCTATTTCTTCATTTTTTCCTACATCTTAACTACTATTTTCCCACTGCATTAAACTTCTACATTTTTCCTGATATGCTCATTTCTTTTCCACCTATACTATGCTTAAATCACATATTTGAAACAAACATGCCTTTTTCTAAGCATATATTCACCTAATAGTCACTATTTTTATTCATTTTTGGATTTCCAAATGGCCCAATTGTAGGATGCATTCACTAATTACGAATAATTAGTAAAGAACTACAGCTTAGAATTTTGAAAATAGGCTAAATCATAGATAGAAAAATATGGATACAATATAGGAAGGTATAGCATAGCACCATAGAGTCTTTGGTTTGTGAGGCAGAACTGGTCCATAAAGTTCTCAGCTGAAAACCATCTTCTGATGAACCCTACCTTTCATGGAAAAGCAAAGGGCCAGTCAGGAGAGACTGAAGGCTCCTGGAAAATCCTGAAAAGTTGCCCTTCCTAATAGTTCACCTTTGTTTCTTGGTTGCTAGCTGACAATCAAATAGAAAAACACATCCTTACTGGATCATCAGTTTTCTCCAGAACTCCAGAGGCAGTTCTGGCTTCTCTGTTGAAGAACACTGGACATTGTAAGGAATAAGATTATCAGGAAGTCAACCTCTGCCTGAAATGTCTTATAGCAATTGATACCTACCTAAACAGATGCTAGTGCATTGGATTTTCGGGCTTTTCCACTGAGCAGAATCTATGAGTTTGCACAAACTTCCACAAAATCAGGGCAATTACAGAAGGACCATGCAAGTAAGGAGGGAGTGGAAATGCCCTTTAACCTTTAAAGTTAACCTTTAAAATGCCCTTTAACCTTTCCTTCCTTCAGAATCTCAGCTACATCAGAATTGCTGGAGGCAGGATGATGTATGTGCTTACGCACGAACATTTGCAACACTACCAGATAAATATCACATATGATACCTGGGGCCCAAACATTCATTTATCCCTAATATGTGGCAGAATGCTGAAACAGGAATCAAAATCAAAAGTAGTCTGCCTACTTTTTTTTTTTTCCCAACACTCAAACTGGAATTTAGCCTCTTGAAATTCTACTTTGAAATTGAGAAGTCATTAGTTCCAGGGAGGGCAACCCATACCCAGCACCCCATTTGCTGCCCAGATACACATACCCCAATTGGATGGTCTGACATCTGTGGACATTTTTGCATTGGGGGAAGTGAGGCCTTCTTAAAACACCCATATTATCCTTTAATGCCATCAATGCAAAAAAGGCTCCCAATCTGGCTTGCACTTGTATTGATGCAGTGAGCTCACTAATCATCTTTCCTCTTGTCCCCCGGCAAAGCATCAAGGCAAAGTGCAGCTCCCAGGATTAGTATATTTCTTAGAATCATAGCATATGAACATCAGAGGCAATCAGTAAAAGCAAGAGATATAATTATAGCTCATGCAAGAAGTGCCCACAGAATTGTTACTTTCACAGTGCTAATAGAACATATTCATTGATGTGATAAAGGGCAAGCATACGTAGCCAGCTTATTCTTGTGCACTAAAATATTGCTTTCCTTTAATTTCTGATCTTCAGCGCTTCATCAACTAAAGCAGATAATATTATTAGTTCATTAGCGTAACGATCCTTATATCTTCGGTCTATAAATGTGAATGGAGCTTTTTTACTTACATATGTATGAGTATCTAATCTTTACAAATGCTAGAAGGCTACCATTTGAATTTTGTTTTACAGTATTTTAATCTGAAAGCTTTGTCGTACACAAAATATCTATGGCAAAAACAGCATTGGGCAGGCACATATAGTTTAAGTATGATTAGGTTTGATAAAAAAAATTGGGATAAGAGTGGTATGTTTTTTGCAGTATTTTAAAAAGTTTTTAAAGTTTTTTTTTAAGTCAGCATTAAATGCTTAATGATAGAGTAATAATGACCCCTTGCATTCAGCATAGAAGAGTGTTCTGCAGAGAATGTAAGTATTAAACTCTTGCACTTTGTCAATCAAAATGAACAGGAAGAAAGTTGCTTTTTTCCATCATCAAATGTCCTTAACACTAATGTACCAAAGGAACACATACTTTATATCATATACTAAATATGACTTTAGAAAATATCATTTAGAAAAATGTAGAAAAGCTTATCTATATTCTCAGCTTTATTTCACTTTTCAAGAACTATGCAAAACTGTATTTACAGATTATTCATTGTTCTTGTCCTTGTAGGATTATTGTGCTACTCAATAAAAGTTCAGGATCAAGCAGAATTACACATCTGGAGGCTTAAATTGTTTATTAAATATTTTACAACTTGGGCAACAGGACTTACCTATATATAATTAATTTCTATAGGGTGAAGAAGGAGCTAAAGGAGAAAATGGTATCCCTGGTTTGCCTGGAACAAAGGTAAGATTCATGCCTTAGGTGACCTCATGGACCATTTCCAGGGGCATTAGGACCAAAAGTAATGGATATAAGTTGCACCTACCTAAATTTTATTTAAATGTAAGGAATATTTGTACAATTTTGGAACAATCTACCTGTGAAGGTTACAGGCTCTGCATCTCTGGAGGTTTTTAAAAAGAGGCTGGACAAGGGAAGAGGGGCAGATGTTAATGTAGCTTATGTTTAATACAGTATTTGAATAGTATAAATTATATAATTTATATTATATAATTTCCATTATTGGAAAACAATTTTAATACCCATTGAGAATGAATAAGTGTGTGTGTGTGTGTGTGTGTGTGTGTGTCACACACACACACATACACACATGCATGCATGCATGCATATATATAAAAACATGCCTGCTCAGAATTTTAATGGGGTTTACTTCCTGGAAGACTGCATAGGATTGCATACTTCATTTTGTAACTTCACAAAGTCATTCATAGTTTAGAAAAACTTAGCTTTAGTTGTAAATTATAATCTTGTCATTTAAAAGAAAGGCACAGTATCATTTAAATTATGTGAAATAGTAATGAAATCTCAACAAGTATCACTGGGGCAATATTATTATCGATCAGGACTTATATTGCTTACTTTTATATCTACATGGGGACACTCAGCTGGTCCATTCTTTCAGTATCCTAAAGCAGCTGTTTATGTCTCAAGGTTGCCTTCAAATTGGAGATTTTCTGTTCTGCCTAACATTGCGGACCTTTTCTGTTTCATAATAAATGAAAGGCAGGGTGCATTACCCTCAAATGGAATACATGCAGAATTAAATCAGGGATTGGAAGAAAGGAATGACATAAAACATGCTGTGTGTAAATAACTGGTATACCAGAGTATACCGAGTATAATGATTAGTCAAATTAAGTATGCAGAAAAGTAGGAACAGAAAATTTACTATCCAAACCTATGAATCTCATTCTGCCATAAATGAACATTAACAGACTCACCTGATCCTGAAATTTGTCATGATCCTTTTCAATGTTCTGACATTTGGTAGCTGGAGGTAGTTAAAATGTCAAGCTAAAACAATAATTAGATGGCTGATTTGGTTATCACTATTTTGAGAAGACAGGTGTTCAGATGAATAAAAATGGATGTCATCTGTTTTACTCGTATGATGTGTATCACTTTCTAAAGTGTGCATATCTATTTATCATGCATTTTTATTGTTTCTAATGTATGAAATAACTTTCCAAAGCAAAATCCCACAATCAGAACTTATCTACAGCTGCCTACTCACTTTCTGAATTCATACTACCATTAAAAAAGACAAAAGACCACACTGTTACTATTACTTTGCCTTTTCCACCTAGTTGTCTTCACTGCATCATGCTAAGATAAAGGAAATGATGTGATTGATCCTTGAGGGATAGGGTTGTCTCTTCTTGAAAGTGGCATGGTGCACAATTTTTGTCTAGTTTCCAAACTTCAATTTTTGGGGAAGATGGTAGTAAAGGTAGTTGGGCTGCAGCTCCAGAGGGCTCTGGAGGAAATGGATTGTTTTGATTCTCTTCAGTCAGACCAGAAAATAGCACCAAACCACATTGATTGTATTTGTGGATGACCTCAGGCAGGACCAAATAGGGGTGGTGCAACTCTTCTCATTCTCTTTGGTCTCTTGACTTTTAATCTTCTCCATCAAGATACCCTTTTGGACTGACTACAGTTTTTTGGGGGGGGAGGGTAGTGTTTTAGAGTGGCTGTTCTTTCTCCAGGTACAGTTGGTGTGGGGGGAATTAAGTCCTAAGCCCTTGGGTTTGTCTGGCTTCAATCTTGCCATTCTTTAGACAAGTTCTAAAAAACTGGCTTTTCAAACAGGCCAGAAGCCAAGTGATTTGTGATCCTGACTGGTAGAGGATGGATGATTGGTATTTAAGTGTATTCCCCAACCCCCAACCCCACCTAGTGTATTGTACTTGTCTATATGTTTTATATATTTTTTGAAATATGTTTATGTATGCTGCCTGGAGTTTTCTGATTAGGTGGCCTACAAATCTAAATTAATAAATAACAAACAACAAACTCTCTGGCCATATGTCTCTTTTTCTCACTCACCACTTTTAGAAAGGTCTGATGGTACCAGGAAAAATGTCTTCTAAAAAGAGATTTGGAGTAAACTTTAATTATAAATGTGCAGTTTGATCTTACAAGTGAGATCACCAGCAAACAAGCATATTTATGTGTGAACAGTGACTGCAGTCACTATACAATACTACAAGCCAGTTCTAAAAAGTGTCATATAACCACACCTCAGTTATATTGCAGAAAAGCATACAAGTCATTTCTGTAATTTAATGTTCAAGAAAAATAGTAGTACTAGAATGAGTAAAAATAATATAGAGGAGAAATTAATTCATTTGTGATTTCTGTTAAAGATGGTCATTTTTCCCAAACTGCTCACTGTTTTAACTTTAAATTGATAAACATTTTCCCTTTCACAATCAATATTAGCAGTTCATATCAGCCTTCCACAACCTTCTGATATATGGGCATCAGTTCCTAGAATTCTCCAGGCAGCAGGGCCATTGTTAAGAAATGTAGGAGTTGGTCCACACATCTGGAGAATACCCAGATTACAGAAGTCTGCTCTAAGCACTGCTACAGAGTTGAGGGTTTTGTTTTGTTTTTTTAAATCCCAGATGAGATGTCAGCTGCACTAATAATGGAAGGATATGGAAGTTGCCTAGAATTCAGTGAATGCATCTTCATCTTCATCTCATCTTCAAAATCTAAATCATTCTTTTATCTAAAGTCCTTTCCCCAAGTTAGGTAGTGGTTCTGAACAGTTTCAAACATCACTGTGCACAAAAGATCTGAGTCATTTATTTGAGGTTTTTGACTGATGATTTATGATTTTTGCACTTTTCTCCAAGCTTATGACAACTCACAACAATAATAGAAGTACAAGTTTCTTCTCTGTCCTGGAGATACCATGTACCAAGTTGTTGGAGGCTGCAGGAAGAACTTCAACTTCTATTATGCACCATATGTCTTTGTTTCCTAAAGAAGAGCATAGAAGGAAATAAATCTCAATGGTTAAGGGGAGCTGGGGGTTATGAATAGTGACTAGTACTAACAATCAAAAGTTACTGTGTGGTTATTCTATCTCATTTTCCATAATAGATTTACCGTGGTAAGAAAGATGACAGTATAAGCAGTGGAAAAACATTAAATTAAATTAAATTAAATTAAATTAAATTAAATTAAATTAAATTAAATTAAATT